TTTTTTTTTTTTTTTCTTTTAATTTCTATGTGTCAGAAGCCAGTCACCAAGTTCCCTTCATTCAAAACAAAACACCCAATGCTATTGATTTGATTCTGTCGCATAAAGACCCTGTTGGGTAGAGTAGAACTGAACTGCTCACTAGGGTTTCCAAGACTATAAATCTTTACAGGAACATAATAGTTGGTGGGTTCAAATCATCAACCTTGCCTTTAGCAGTCAGTCCAGTGCTTATCCCGCAGTGCCACTAGGGTTCCTCATTTAAATTCAAGGCATGGGAAAATTGGAACTACCTCTTAAAGAGAATATCAATTTACTGAGATAATTTTAAAACTACCATAAATAAGACTAAAATAATCACGAAATACTAATATAAGCAATATTGAGCAACTTTGCTATGTTGTTGTTATATGCTGTGGAGTCGGTTCTGACTCATAGCGACCCTGTACAGGGTTTCTGAGGCTGTAAATCTTTACGGGAGCAGAAAGCCTCATCTTTCTCCAGCAGAACAGCTGGTAGTTTCAAACTGCTGACCTTGCAGTTCGCAGCCTGATTCGTAACCACTACGCTACCAGAATAATTCTGGTCTGAAGTGTGCACACTGAGTATTTATGCTACCCCTCTGCTTATCTTCTAGCTCTGTAGTTTGGGGTATATACATAATCTCTTTCAGTTATTGCTTACTCATTTGTAAAATGGGGATAATAATAGAACTTCTAACAAAATTGCTGTGAGGAATAATTTTGAAACATTATAGGGGGAACACTTCCCCAATGGTTAACAGACAAAGACTACAGGAATGTTTCTTATTATGGTCAGTGTGTGTGATGATTGGATACTGTCTTATTTCTGCCCCTTTTGGTTTTCCTCCTTGTTGGTTCTTTCTCTGTTTGGTTTGTCATTTGTGTTAGTTGCTAAATGTATTTTTCTTTGTCCATCTTCCCACGTAGATTTCTTCTTCCTGGAAAGACTGATCTTTGACTAGATGGCAGTAACATTTGATGATGTGACTATTAGTTTTACTTGGGAGGAGTGGAAATTCTTGAATTCTACTCAAAAGAAGCTCTACAGAGAGGTCATGTGGGAGAACTACACAAATGTCATGTCAGTAGGTAAAGTTATCCCTCTTCTTAATTAGTTTCTACTTGAACGAGTTTTCTCAAATATTTTGGTTTTTTATCTGGGTGTTGTATTAAGAGTGGTGAGATAAATATTCTAAAACTGTGTCTTAAATCAGGTGACACAAATCTTGCAAGACACTTGGGCTATGTGTAATAAGTAGATATCTGTTCTTTGTTTTTGCTTTTAGTCATTTTCTGGATTTTACTTAAATGCCCAGTATTGATTTTGTATAGTCCTATATCTGTTATCTCTTCATAGTTTTGTGTAATTCTATATGTTTTCTGTTCACACTATTTGTACAAGTTAGCTTTTGCTGTATAACAAACTATCCCAAACCTAGTGGCTTAAGACAATAAACTTTAGTGTTTTTCATAATTCTAATTGACAAATATTTTTCATAATTCTAATGGTGCTTCTATTGTGCAGTGACTTGGCTGGAGCTTAGTGTTCTAAGATGGGGCTGGATGCCTAACTCACATGTATGGCTGTTGTTTCGTTAGTGGGGCTGATGGAGATGTGCTGGCCACATGTGCCCCTTTAAGCAGGCTAGCCCATACTCATTTACATGAGGGTAATCAAAGGATTTTCAAAAGCAGTGATAGAAAGGACAAGCCCCAGTGCTTAACCACTTTTCAAGTCTCTGCTGTGTTACTTTTGCTGATGTTCCCAGTGACCAAAGCATGTTGCTTAGCCCAGACCAGAGACGGTATGGAAGGAAGACACCCAAAGGTGTAGACAAAGGTAGAGAGTTAATACATCCATTGTTGCACATAATCTAGCACATTAGTCTAGAAGAATACAAATCAATATTTTACTTCTTATAATAATTTCCCAGATAGAGTAATTAAATTCAGTCTTTAATGTTATATTCATGAAGCAGTTGACCTTACTCTTTATTTTTGAACAGTACCTGATAAATTATGGGTACTAAAGATATGTTTGTGGAATGAATGTATAAATGAATAAACAAGTATAGAAATTAATTTTAGCTCCAAATGGATCAAAGTCATAAGCCTTCTTTTCCACCCCACGTATATGTCCTTTTCAATCAGTTTTTTTCACAGTTAATTTTTGATAATTGTGAGTTTTATTCTCCTGTGTACATTTCCTCATTCAAGAAGGATCACTGTAATATTTTGGTATGTGGAGATACAACCATAAATATATTACTCCTATGTCTTCACTGAACTTGCAAAATTTGGGGGGATAGTTCCTATTATTTTCTGTTTATTCTATGTTTAAGAACCCACACAAATAATTGATGCAATTGGATGTTAATCTTTCATTGCAACTGGAAACCAACTGTAAATTTTGTTAGTCTCAGACATGCAGAATGAGAAAATTATGAAGGACAAATAATGCCAGTCATTTCCTTGCTTAAATAAAACTTTAACCTCTTCCTACATTTCTAGAGGTCATTGATAATTTTGAAATTTTTAAGCATGACTTTTATCTCACCACTGAATCTTCTGATTCTTCTAGGAAAGTGGAATGAGAGTTACAAATCCCAGGAAGAAAGATTCAGATACTTAGGACATGGCAATCTTTCTTGCTGGCAAGGATGGAAGAAAGCCGGCACTCAGATATATGAAAACCAGAACTGTGTGGAAACTGCTGAAAAGAAAGAGGTAGATTCCAAGGACCTAATGCAGCAAGACCTTTCCCACTGTCAGGAATGGTTAATACTCTCTACACAAGTACCAAGATATGGGAACTATGAAATGACTTTTCAAGAAAAAAGTTCCAGGAACTCTACGTATAAAAAGTCTATAACTTGGCAGTCCTTAGAACCAAAAAACACTAAAGATTATGGGAGAGAAATTTGCATAAGAGATTCCCATGGTTGTCAAGGAAACAGATACCATCTTGCCATATCCAAGAAAAGTCTCTCTCTGGCAGAAGCAGAGAAGCTCATAGTTCATCATTCATATATCCCAATAGAAGAAGCCCTTCTGGAGTTCAGTGGTGAGATATGCCAAAATGACCTGCTAAAAGACTCTATGAAAGAGACACACTGTGGATGTAGTAAATGTAAAGATATTTATTACTGGAACTCACAGTATATTCTACACAAGAGAGAGCCATTTGGAGAAAAGCTCTATCAGTGTTCCATCAGCACAGCATGCTTCTCTCAGAGATCAGACCTGTATAGACATCCAAGAATTCAGATCGGTAAACCTCTGTATGGATGCAATGAAGTTGATGGTCACTTTAGTCAGAGCGCAGGTGTTTATCAGACAGTCCACAGAGGGGAGGTTCCTTATATATGTAATGCATGTGGTAAGAGCTTCCGCCAGATCTCTAGTCTTCACAGTCATCAAAGACTCCACACAGAAGAGAGACTCTATAAATTTGAGTGTGATAAGGACCTCAGTAGAAATTCATTACTTCACATTCACCAGAGACTTCACATAGGAGATAAACCTTTTAAGTGTGGTCAGTGTGGTAAGAGTTTTAGTCGGAGTTCAGTACTTCATGTTCATCAGAGGGTCCACACAGGAGAGAAACCCTATAAGTGTGATGAGTGTGGTAAGGGCTTCAGTCAGAGCTCAAATCTTCGAATTCATCAGTTAGTCCACACGGGAGAGAAGTCCTATAAATGTGATGATTGTGGAAAGGGCTTTACCCAGCGCTCAAATCTTCAAATTCATCAGAGAGTGCATACAGGAGAGAAGCCGTATAAATGTGGAGACTGTGGGAAAGACTTCAGTCACAGCTCAGATCTTCGTATTCATCAGAGGGTCCATACAGGGGAAAAACCTTACATTTGTCATGAATGTGGTAAGGGCTTCAGCAAAAGTTCCAAGCTCCACACTCATCAAAGAGTCCATACTGGAGAGAAACCTTATCAGTGTGAAGCATGTGGTAAGGGATTCTGTCAGAGTTCACATCTTCTGATTCATCAGAGAGTTCACACAGGAGAAAAACCCTATAAATGTGATGATTGTGGGAAAGGCTTTAGTCACAGCTCAAATCTCCATATTCATCAGAGAGTCCATACAGGAGAAAAGCCATATCAGTGTGCCCAGTGCGGTAAGGGTTTCAGTCATAGCTCAGCTCTTCGAATGCATCAAAGGGTTCACGCAGGAGAGAAACATCCTAAGTGCCATGAATATTATAACAAATTTGATCAAAACTCCCATCTTCACAACAATCTTAGACGAGAAACTTTATAATCTTAGTTAACAGCTTTTGTCAAAGCATATACCAAATAAGTGCTCCTCAGAGTAATACCTATAAGTAATACCAATAATCTCACATAACGTTTATAGTTTTCCTAAAAGTAATACCAATAATCTCACATAACATTTATAGTTTTCCCTAACTATCACTAAATCATTTGTGCTAAGATATGATCCTTAGGAGAATTCTTAAATATTTAAAATCAAAGTATATTTTCGTTTTCTATTACAAATATAATGCATAGTTGTTTAAAAATATTTAAAATATTAAAGGAGGCAACTCATCCTGTTCCACTCCAGTCTTTTTTTTCCTCTGCATTTTATTGTGCTTGAATTCATATTGTATGTTGAACTTTGACCTCAAAGCATTTTCTTAAAAACAGATGTGAAGTGAAACTCTCTGGAACAGTGTCTTGACTCCCTCATAAAGTCTAGGAAGCCACAGAAAGAGATGAAAGTATACAAAACTTGAAAATCAAACAGGTAGACAACTTAATCATTTGAATATGGAAGAACTAACTAGATGGTCACCTGATAAAGTTAGGAAAGCATTGTATGACCCATAAATATCTTACATATTGTATCTTACGTACATTATCTCTGTCAACCAGAAAACACTGAAGCAAACCTGTTGCAAGGGTATTATACTTTGAAATAGCTACAACTCACTTTCACTCCCTCTTTCCCAGTTTTCCATATTAATTTATAGGCTCAGACATAAAGTAACTGGAGGCAGAAGATTGTTTCTGTAAGTAAGTTTTGGAAGGCATGTGCAAAGGCAGAAATAACACTCAGGCATAAATGTTAGAAATTGTACATACTCCACTGGTTCAGAATCACAGACCCAAGAGTAGAATTTGATTAATCTCAGTAAAACAGAGTTATAGTATATGGATATATGCTTGTAGCAGAATTTAGCTCATCATTAAGGAGCTCTGGTAGCGTAGTGGTTACGAATCAGGCTGCTAACCTCAAGGTCAGCAGTTCGAAACTACTAGCTGTTCTGCGGGAGAAAGATGAGGCTTTCTGCCCCCGTAAAGATTTACAGCCTCGAGAACTCTGTGCAGGGTCACTGTGAGTTGGAACCAACTCTACGGTACTTAACAACAATGTGCATCATTGGAGTCTTGGTGTGGCGCTGCTGGTTAATGCACTGGACTGCAAAGTTGGTTTGAACCACAAGATCAAAGGTTCAAGCTCACCAGCCACTCCTCAGAGAGCCGATACAGGGTTGCTAAAAGTTGGAACCAACTCGACAGCATTTAACAACAGCAGTGTACATCAATGGAGACAAGGATGGCAAGACTTTGTCTCTCATACTTTAGACATTTCAGGAAGAATTAGTCTCTGGAGAAGGACATCATACTTAGTAAAGTGGAGGGTCAATGAAGAAGAGGATGACCCCCTAATGCAGTGGATTGACACTGCCAGCAACAATGGGTTCAAGCGTACCAACAGTTGTGAGAATGGTGCAGGACCAATGTTCTGTTGTGCATAGGGTCACTGAGTGGGAACCAATTCGATGGCACCTAACAATGCATCAATGAACTCTCCATTTCATTATGGAAGAAGACAATTTTTCCATTATAGAAATGGAATGAAGTCAATAAGAAACAAACGTCTGACAGTATTGACATACATATGTTTAGATATCACTTCCCAAGTTGTTAAGTGCCTTCGAGTTGGTTCCAACACACAGAGACCCTGTATAGGAGTGGCTAGCCGGTTTAACCATAAATTTTGTGGTTAGCAGTCCATTGCTTATCCTATAATGCCAACAAAAATTCAGCTGACTTGTTTGGGAAGTAAGAAGGAATTGTAATACCAAAGAAATATTATCCTGAAGATTTAGAAACCTGGCGCTGTGGGTTAATGCACCAGACTGCAAAGCTGTTTGAACTGCAAGGTCGGCGTTCAAGCTCACCAGCTGCTCCTCAGAAACCCTATACAGGGTTGCTATGGGTTGGAATCAACTCGACGGCACTTAACAGCAACCCTAAAAATTAACCATTTCAGGCTCCAGAAAATAATTTCAAAATAATTTGTGTCCCCATAACAGAAAACCTAACTCTACTAAACCCAATTCTTAATCCTTTATCCCTGCATCAAGTGTTGGAATTGTTTTTGTTGTTGTTAAGTGCTGTTGAGTCAGTTCTGACTCACAGCGACCCTGTATAGGGTTTCTGAAGAGCGGCTGGTGTGTTTGAACCTTGAGGTTCAAACCAACATTGTGGTCAAGTGCTTACCCTACAGCACCACAGCAGGACTCCTAGAGTTGGGCTACTCCCTGAATGAAATAAGTTTTAAGGTAGTTCTTAGAGACATTCAAGGATGTGGCTGCGAGCTTCACCGAAAAGGAGTGGTAACAGCTGGATCCCAGTCCTGTATAGGGTTGTGATGCTAGAGAACTATAACAATGTGTTTTCATTGGGTAAAACGGCTTTCCTGTAACTTGTTATAGCATTTGGAGTATCTTAGCTTTCTCTACTAAATTATTCGGCTGCCAAACACTTAAGGGGAACCAAACCCCCCTGCTATAGAGTTGATTTTGACTTAGCAACCTTTCCAGGTAAGGGTTGAATTACTCCATAAGATTTTCAAGGCTATACATCTTTACGGAAACAGACTGCCTCATTTTTCCTAAGGAGTGGCCAGTTGGTTCAAATTGCTGAGCTTTTGGTAGCTTCCCAGTGCTTAACCCACTGTGTCACCAAGGATCCTTTTTTGAGGGGAAGGAACTGCCACACACACACACAAGTAAACCCATTGGCACTGAGTTGATTCTGACTCATGATAACCCCGTGTGTTAAAGTAGAACTGAGCTCCATAGGATTTCTTGGCTTCAGTCTTTACAGAAGTGATTGATTGTCAAGTCTTTCAGGCCACTGGATGGGTTTGAACACCTCAACGGTTTCATTAATACTCAGGTGTAAACCTTTTGTACCACAGGCTCTTAGAAGGAACCAGCAGTAATGGCTTATTGGAAACCACCCACTGAACCATTGCTGTGCTGACAGATTGAAAAATAACTAGTTAAAGTAATAGGCTTGCTTTGGCTAATCAGTGACCTCTTAAAAGACTATGCTGAAATTAAAACATTAGCACAAGTGAAGATTTACCAATCCTACAGAAAGGAGGAAAGCAGAAATTGGGACAGATACAAAATTTGAAAATATGAATATGAAAATAGGAGTCACACAATACAAGTCTAAGAATTTTAGGAGTGCAAAGGTCAAGCAAGAATCTAAGTCATTGCTCGATATACCCGTAAACATTGAACTGGGGTGAGTACTTAACTTACAGCAGACGTAGGATGGGGCTGGGTCTAGTCCCTTAAAGAGGAAATCATGAAACCAATTGTCATCCCAAACAATATTTTGAGGTAACACGTAGAGGTTTTAGCGGTACCTCTTAACAGCAGGAGAAACCTGTAGATTCCTCCAGAGAGAAAGCATTAAAGTTATTTCTGGCATATATTGATGTTTGTTTTTAATCTGGATAGTGGTATTTAAGGACACGTTTCTTGGAGGGGTTGTCCAAAACTCTTAAATTATATGCTAACTAGGTGTGTACTCTCTTTTTTTGGAGTGGTGGGTAAGGAGAAGTACGGAAAGGAATGTTTTCATCATTCTGGAAGGGATACTATGTCTCAGAAAAGATTTGAGTCATTGGTTTAAGAAAACGTTAAGGCAACACATCCCATATTTAAGCAAAATTGTGTACTCTATATGGGCCAACTGAGATGCTGAACCAAGTACCAATTGCGTCCCCTCTCCCATCCCTCTTCTGTTCATCCTTAGGTAAATGTGGGCACACTTCCTGGTTGGCACTGGTCATCAAATAGGTTCAAACAGCCACAAGTTATGCATTGTCTTCTTACTAGGAATACAGCTACTGTCCACTGGTAAATGTACTCATTAAGAATGATTGCCAGAGGATTCAGGGAACTGTAGTCTGCTCCAGCAAGTTGGGTCCTTAGAGCTGTAACTTAAAGGTGAGAGTTACATATGTAAACCTTATAAACTCTGAAATACAAATTCTGTCCACTAAATACTTGATTAGAGTATTTTTAATGGATTAATGTAGGGAGATTTATAATCCTTACAATAGTCTCCTCACTCAATTACATTTTTATTTTTTAGGGAAGTAGAGTGCATATAATGTATTTGAAATAATTTTTTAAACCTAAGTTTTTCAATTGGTTTTAAGGTTATTTGGACAATCATCTTAGTAACAAATTACTTTCATCTTTCCAGTTTTCATTCTCATTATTTCAATTAGCATTTGCAGAGCACTAATTGTAGCACTAACAAGAATTCTACCTTTTATCATTACCTTCAGGATAAAGTCCAAACTTCTATGGAAACATACACACCTTTCATAATCTAGCCTTCAAACTTCCCTTTAACTTCATTTTTATGTATTCTAGCACTATTCTTTCTTATTGGCCCAGTCCAGAGAGTGAACTTATTTCCTAAGCATGTCATGCTCTCATCCTTCTGTACTTTTAAAAAATCACTTCTCTTCCTTAATATTATTCTCCTGGTGTGGCACTGTGGGCTAATGCACCAGGCTGCAAAGCCGTTTGAACTGCAAGGTCAGCGGTTCAAGCTCACCAGCTGCTCCTCAGAAACCCTATACAGGGTTGCTATGGGTCAGAATCGACTCCATGGCACTTAACAACAACTACACACTAAAAAAAAAAAAAGGTAGAGAAAAAGAAAATAGGATCAAAATACCTAAAATGAAACTGTCAGCCCCCATTAAATTTAACATTTCACTGTAAGTGCTTAGATGATTGATGACTATAATGGAGGACAGCACCAAGCCACTCCTCATACAGCACTCTAAGTTTGGTCCAATAATTCATCGGAATGGCCACAGAGAACTCAGACAACATACTCACAATTACAAGGTTTATTAGAGACGCTAGCAGGTTACAATACAGGATCACAAAATGCTCAGGGCAGTTGTTCAGTCAGCTGCTGATAAATGCCCACAGGACACACCACTCCACCATAAGCCTCAGCTTGAATGCACTTGGCTCAGCTTCAAGGGTCAGCAAACCTAGTTATTACACTTAAGTGCCTGCAGGTACTCCACTCTACAAGCGTTGCTTCCTGCCCCAAATCATCAGCTTTACTTGCTCTGTGGTTTGGGAAGCCCATCAGTCTATCTAGTACTCTTGCTCTGCTGCTTCTGCTGCTTCTGCTGCTGCTCCTACTCTGCCATTCCTCCGGTGTCACAGTTTTGTCCCTGGGTGGAGGAGGTTCAACATGTGGGGATCTCAAGGTCCAAAGGACACACTCTTCTTCTTTGATGGTAGACAGAGATTCTCCCTCTTGTTTCTGAGATGGTTCATTTTCTAGCCATGCTAAAGTTTCAAGTTTTTACAATTACAATGAACTTTGCTAGTATCCACAGCTGAATCATGTAATCCTATCACTATCTTCTCCCACCTTCTCTTACCTAGACCGAGCATGGCAGAAACATTGTTTGGTTGGAGTTACTGACTATGGCTAGAAGAGATATTATATATTCAGACCACCACAAGGGCATGTATGTGAATTTCCTACAGAATGCTTTTCTCTTGTTAGAACACACCAAAAGTTGTTTTATGTTTATATGAATCTCCATATCAATTACTTATGTATGATTTTGTCCTAATCAAATTTTGATGTTAAAATAAACATAAACACAGAATAATTTTCCACATTTATTCACAGAAATTAATTTGTGTCTGCTTTTGATGATAAGGTGTGAACTCTAACAGAAAGCTACCATCTTCATTCAATCAAAATGTCTCCAGTATGAATCTTTTTGGGTACAGTAAGGCAAACTTCTAGGCTCAAGACCCCTTTTGGATCCTGTGTTAGCTTATAGAAGAGGAAGTTCTGTAGTACACTTTATTGACCTTATGATATCTGGGTGGGATAAATGATAACCCTAAGGCTAAAGTTGTTTCTCCAGCCTAGATCCCAAAAGAGCACTTTAAAAAGAAACAGAATTTTTAAGAATATCAATACACAAAAACAATACATCCATCTTCCATGAAGTTTATAACCCTCTCCCAATTCTAGTCTCCATCTAGTACTAGGAGAGCCAAGAATATAATCAGTGGTGGAATAATTGGTTGTCACTGTGGACTTTGTCATTAATTCAGGGATTTCAGTTCTTAGACATGTCCTCCTATATGCTCATGACACCTGGTTTCTCATCTTTTTATTAAGGGCTGAAGTTGGAGTTTTAAGTATCAACTCTTAAAGCATTTCTTGGTTCCTCCCTGATGTCTACATCTTCAATTGATCAGATGAATATAAACATGATATAGATCCCATGTATCAACTAGGGATAAGTGGAGATAACTGGATTTAATAATAATAATAATTACATGGTTTGTGTTTTAACTGAAGACCCTTATAGCTTCATTTAGGAGCCTACAATATCCTCTTCAGACATATTTCTATCCCAACAGACTTCTCTCCAATTTTAATTATCAAAGCAATGAAAGAATTATCTAATTATCTCTGGCAATCATTTTCTTACATTTACCATATTCACAAGATTCCCTCCAGCATGAATTCATAGAATTTGAATGAGTTCTGCATCTGCACTCTAACTGGAAGCAATTTTGCATTTCTTCCTTTTATAGTTGTTCTTTTGAGTATGAAGTTTTTGGTGTTTAATAAGGTTTGAGCTCCGGTTGAAGGTTTTCAAACATTCCTTACATTTGAATGGTTTTTCTCCTGTATGAATCATTTGATGTCGAATAAGGGAGGAGCTCCGGGTGAAGGATTTTCCACAGTCAACACATTCATAGAGGTTATCACTAGAATGGAGTACTGGGTTTTTATTACTGCCTTCATTACTAAAGGTGCTTCCGCATCTACTATTTTCATAGATTTTTGCTTCAGTATGAATTTTCTGATGTTTGTTAAGGTTTGTTTGTCGGTTGAAAAATTTCCCACACTCACTGCATTTATATGGTTTTTCTCCTGTGTGAATTATCTGATGTCGAATAAGGGATGAGCTCCGGCTGAAGGCTTTCCCACATTGATTACATACATAGGTATGAGTTTCCTGGTGTTGAATAATATCTGTACTCTGGTTCAAGGTTGTCCCATATTTATTATATCCTGAATGTTGCCTACCTACTGAATATAAATTAAATTTGAAGTTAATTTTAAATTTATCACACTTCGGGGATCCCTCTCTCATAGGAATTCCCTGTTGTATATCACAAATTGAATTATCTGACTTAACATTAACGTTTTTCTCATATTCAGCACATTTAACGTCTCTCTCCTCAGTGTGGAGTGCTTTATCAATGAAAGTCAGTTGTGGCAAACACATATCCAGATTTTGCTGGTTTCTATAGAATGGACCATCACCTTTCCAGGAATCTAAGGAAGAGAGTCTACTTGTCAAAAATACTTCATGGAATGATTCTTCTCCAGAAATCCTCTGCTTTGGAACTGAATTTTGGTTTTCTGCACAAGTTTCTTTGCCTAAAAGGAAAGAAAAAATTTCATAAACTAGAAAAAGAGAATGAGCTTAATTCTGAAAGGGATGTGAAACTATGTAATGGTATACACAGGTTTTATCAGTCTTTAAATACAAAATGAAAAGATGAGGCAATTTATAAAAGAACAAAATAAGATAAAAATATTATAAAAGGGATTGGGAGATCATAAAATAGAACAGAACTATTTAGAAATTCCAAAGGACTCTGGTAAAAGATCAGCATATGAATTGGGATAGGTGTGTCTTAGTTATCTATTCCTGTTATAACAGAAATATTACAAGTGGATGGCTTTAACAACAGGAAATGTATTCTCCCAGTTTCCAAGGCTAGAAGTCCAAATGCAGAGTCTCAGCTCTTGGTAGAGGCTTTCTTTCTGTCGGCTGTAGGGAAAGGTTCTTTTCTCCTTTCAGCATCTCCATATATCTTGGCATCAATCTTTCTTTGAATCGAGGAGCTTAACAATGCAGGAACCGCAAACCCAAATGACACACTCCACTCCCAGCTTTTTCTTCTATCTTGGTGGTGACAGATCTCTCATTCCCTGCTCATGTATTTCTCCTTTTATCTCTTATATGATAAAGGGTATTGCAAGCCACACTATTGGGAATCTCCCATAAATTGGATGAGGGTGATGGTGAGATTAAGGATTGTGTATCACACCCCTAATCCTCTTCTTGGTGTATCACATCAAATCACATCAAGGGGGATAACTACATCTCAACTGCCAAACCACTGAGAATCCTGGTCCAGATACGTTGACATGAAACCTTACCAATCACAAGAAGGCACATCACAGTTCCGGTTCATGACTAGTCTATGAAGATTCTACCTAATCTTCCTTTCTCTTTAACTAAAGTTTTTCACCAATAATAAATAAGTTCCTTTAAAAGGTCAATTTAATCTTATCTTTAGGAACATATCTTTATTTTCAGTTATCTTAATCAATTTAAAGATAATTTGTCATCATAGTGTTTCTATTTTACATCTAGCTGCAATTACTCCCTGCACATAACAAAGACAGACAAAATTGCAAAATAAGGCAGCAGGAAAACCATCATTATTCTGGGCTCATAATCACACAAATTCTAACACTTATGCTATGGTATTTTTCTACCATATTTCCTAGGATTCAAAACTTTTACCTGTTGTGATTAAAACTGGATTCTCTTTCACTTTGCCTTCAGTCTATCCATTTTATTAGCTTCTCCTCAGTATCTCTTTAACAATTTTTTAAAATCAAATTTTACTGACTTCCCTTTCTCCTTTTCTATACAACTTCAGGTATGATTACTGATTTGTGCACAACTCTTTTTTGGTAGTCAAATTAACATCCTCAACTTTGAGTTCTCAGATATATTATTACTCTATGTTTCAACCAGTCTTCAGAATATCTCTGCTGGATTATCCTAGTCTCCTTCAATTCTATAATAAATTAGAGACACAAATCATAATTTTTACATAGAATTTCTTTCAGTTTTGTTCAATGAGTGATTGTTCTTTTCATATTAATACTACAGTTCATGAAGAGATTGAATAACCATTGTCATATCTAATCCATGTTTACTATTACTGAATGAAAATGACTTCATCTTCAAAGTAGGACTAATAATATCTCCAACTTTGTAATTTCTAGGAGAAACTATTATTTACCTATACAATATCTACACCCAAACTACTAAATCAATCTCCTGGAAAACCTAGGAGAACACACATGCACTTAAAGACTAACCAAATGATTCACATGCAGCATGAGATTTAAGAATTAATGATGATTAGGTGAGAGGAGGCAGGGATGGATGGCAGATGGGTAGAGGTGCAGTGAAGTTAGCTGTCAGCAATACCACAGAATACCAGGTGAAGAGGGATCAGGGCAGAGCTCCTAAATTCTGAACCACATATCTAGGAAAATTTTAAAAGTCTGAAGGCTTATAGCTAGTGAAACTTGTAGCGGGAGTAAGAAATCATGCATTTTTTAATCTGCTGGGCTCAACGGCGCGGAGCCAACAACTTGGGCGAGACCAAATGGCAAGACCAAGCAGGGAACAGATCCACCACTGAATAACACTGTGGGAACCTCAAAACAAAAGTAGACAATACACTTTGTCAGTTCTGCTTTGTTCTGCTTTTTGTTTTTTCTTTATTTCTTTTGGGTATTTGTTCATTGGCCCCCACTGTTTGCGTATCTCCATTCTGGTGACTAGAGGGGGAGCCTGAGTGGAGACCCCCACACCTCCACAACTGGTGTATTCTTCTGCCATGCATGGGCACAGATACTCTCAGCCCAAGAGCTGGACCTGAACTATTTTTTAATAGCAAAAAGGCCAGAACAAGGGGTGTGCAGAGGGAAAGAGAGTTTAAAAATAAAACAGGCCAAAAATTAAATTTAATCCTGAGGTACACCATAACAATCAACAGTGGCATCATGAAATTTATCAGGTGGCTTTGCAGGCAAGAAGATGAAAGAGGACATTAAAGTCATACTCATATTAGATTACAGATTTTTTTTTTTCCTTCTGTCCTTCCTCTCCCTTTTCTGTGATTATAGACTACAGTATCCAACCTAGTTTTTTAGTGTTTTTTTTTTTCTTTTCTTTGTTGTTTTTTTTGCTGTTCCTGTTTTGCTGTTTTATGCTCCCCTTTTTACCTTTGGGGGACTCTTTCTCTCCCTATATTACCCAAGAAGAGACAGCAACTGCTGCCATATAGTCAAGCTACAATCACACCCTATAAAACACAAAAATCTAGGCAAGAACCAACTGCCATACACCAGGGAGGCAGACAAAACCTGTGAAAGTTACTCTGAGTTACACAATACGAAGAGTGAAAAGGGAAGCCCACATCCTGATCACATCTACCTGAAGGCAATCAGAAAGCATAAAAAAATACCAAAACACACACTCAATTAAGTATTAATTCCACAGATAAACACTAAACATGTCCAAGAAGCAAAAGCAGATGACCATATCAGCACATGTCCACAAACAAGATAAAAGGTCTGAGACAAATGACCTAGAGGTAGACCTGGACTACATTCTGGAAGGAGGGAAGGCCTTGGAAATGCCCGAGAAGGAATTCAGAAAAATGATTATAAAATGTTCAAAACACTTTACAATGGAGTTGAGAAAAATAAGGAAGTCAGGAAAGTGCTACAGGAACAGTCAAATAAGATAGATACAGGATTGGAAACAATTCAAAACCTACAGAAAGAGGTCCAAATGATCAAGAATAGAATATCTGAAATAGACAATACACTGAAAGGAGAAAGGAGTAGATTGGAAGAGATGGAAAGCAGAACTAGTGAGCTGGAAGATAAATCTCTCAATACCACTAAGATAGAAGGGCAAACAGAAAAATGGATTAAAAAATCTGAAGAAGGTCTAAGATTTATGTTGGACAACATGAAGAGGAATATCTTAAGAATTATCAGCTTTCCAAAACAAGAAGAATCACACAAATCCACAGAGGAAATAGTTGAAGAGCTGCTGGAAGAAAATTTCTCTAACATCCAGAAAAGATAAACATTCAAGAAGCTCAACGAACCCCAGGAAGGATAGACCCCAAAAGAAAATCACCAAGACATATCATAATCAAGCTCT